AAAAAGATTTCTCTTTTGATCGCATTTCTTATTTTCGTAATCAATTGTGTCGACCAGTGTTTGATCCGGTATTTTATATCTCTTCACTATAAACATCAGTATCAGTAGAGTTGGGACTGAAAATAGACACAAATAAATTAATGAATGCAATTAATTGTGCAAAAAACTAAAGTTTGAGAGAATTTTTAATACAGATTATCATATGATTGTAAATATTGTTGTGATTTTGTAAATTCATATGATTATAAATTCAAATTCATAAGCTAAATATATAACTAAAATACTAAATACTTTGTTTCTATTTTTTACTAGCTAAAACTAGCTACAACTCATTTTTTATCGACAATTTTATCGCATATAATCTCAATGATATAAATTGTTATTATTTATTTGGGACATTGAGTCAACAATTATATAAATATTAATGTAATTGACATTAAATAAGTTGGTAACTAAATTACCAGAGATTTAATGATATAAATATCTGAACTTAATTTTATGGATTCCTACAAATAATATGTATTAAATAACTCACACATTAACTGAATGAGTCCATTGATAAGAAAGGGAGTCTTAAGACTTTCTCTTCTCTGTTCCACAAAATCAATAATTGGCGTCAATTTGTTGTCCACTAAAGTGTGGTTCTCTACCGGCGAAGAAGACATAACATTGATGTCTTGGTCTTTGAGGAAGAGCTGATTGACGAGTGGGGAGAGAATAGTTCCGATTCCGTACATGAATTGAATCAACTGAAGAAATGGCGCCGATTTATTCTTCCAGATCTCGATGAGCCATACGTTGGCGATACTGTTCCAACAGCCGGAGCCCAAACCCACGGCCAGACCGCAGATGTATATGTGTGACAGTGATTGTGAATATGGTATCAGAAGTGATGCCACAGCCATTAGACACATGAGTATAGATGCTGTCAATTGTCTGTTTATGTATTTATATAGGAATCCAACTGTTTTTGTAAATTAAAAACTAATTAATATAAAAACATTTTTGATAATTTCATAGTTAACTCACAAAGAGATCCAATTAAATAGCCGATGGATACAAATGTATTGAATAATGATATGTTGTTCATCGATGTGTTTAATATGAGTTTCAAATCAACCATAACAGCGAAGAACATATGTCTTGTCATTCCCTTTAAAAAATAAAAATCAATTATAATTAACAGAAAGTTATTTTTTTATTTGAAGTTTTATTTACAAATGCCGTGTGATTTAAAAGCATTATTATTGTATAAACATATTTATGCCAATTTGACTCTAATTGTCCACTCATTGTGTATTAATTTTAGTTATAATGTGTTTTAAAATATATAAATCTTGTTATATACAAAAATTGCTTTACAAATCAAAACAAACTTTTGCTAAATTAAGCAAACATTGCTTTTTATATGTGAACCCCTTTTGCCGATTGGCGCCAAACCATATATTTTGGTCAATACTTATCTCCTTTTTATTATATAAACCAATAATTGTCAGACAATTTACAGGTCGTCTCAGATATGATGTCAAGTGTTGGCCGGGATTTCAGATAAATAAGTCAATGGAAATTAATATTTATTTACAAAATAGACGAAACTTCAAGTATTTGATAAGAATTCGCCGAAAAAAGTTATTTTTATATTTTTGTGTTTATGTAAAAAATTTGCAAACATTGTATAAACTTTACAAAGTTTGCAAACTTTGCAAACATTTTCTATAAAGAAAGTCATTTCTAAATTTTTTTAATGATTGTTAAAATTATCGTAAATGATATCTGAAATCATAAAGAAAACAACATTAGATTAAATTGTGAGGAAACACATGTCTTAGGCACTGATCTGATCCAGAAGAATATCATCAACACACCATTGCTATAAACATTTATCATATATTCAAACATTTATACGTTAAGAACCTTTGCCCCCAATCCTAATACTCTTCAACGACTCCTATTTTTAATCCTTTGTACAAACATTTCAATTAACACATCTCTCAACCAGTTTTGGCCACTATTCTAACCATTCATTTAAACACACATTTTGTCGCTTTTAATTACAATTAGTTTTAATTATGTTTAACTTTTATTCACCATCGTATCGCATGAAATGACTTCGTTCTAACCATATATAACGTTACGACGTCGGACTCCTACAACTAACACACTATTACTGATAAAACCGTAAATACTGTTACCATTTATATATCCATGAATTGTAAAACCCTTGTAAATATTCACAATAAATTAACGAGAATTCCATACACGAAGTGCTGTCCGTTACTCTGCCCGACTTCCCATTCATTATAATACACCGTAGCAAGAGCATTACCAACATAGCTACCAGTCATGGGTGGTGCTACCCCCATAACAAACAAAAATAAGCCAATCATTGCAAAAACACGCGTTTTTTATGGGGGTAACCACACGCATAACTGGTTGCTATGTTGGTAATGCGATTGCCAGGCTGTACAGTGTAAACACATTCAGTAATTCATTCAAACGGTGTCCACGCGTAAAGTATATCTATACCTTGTGTTCAATCAGTGTTAGCGCGAAGTCGCCTAACGCTCTCATACAACCCCATACTTCGACTTCGTCGGTAGATCTAGTCGTTTCAAGACTTTGATCCCAATTACCGACCGACGGGTCATTAAGGAGTCCTCCAACACTCTTCTGACTCCGACTTCCGTCACAAAATAATAATTAATATTTATTATAATAAAAAATCATTAGACATTAAATTTGTGTAAAAATTAGAAATTTTTATGAAAACTTTCCGCTAATGTTTACCAATTAAGTAATAGCCGGGTCTATACGGGTCTACGATTAGATTACACATCGGAGTCATTATTGATTAAAAATATAAACAAATGTACATTTAATACAGTGTCTCATATGTTCCCAAAGACTTTTTTAATCTTTGCTCTACTTATTAATCTCAGAAGAGTTTTGACGCCAAGTGTTAAATAATTATAGCATATATTTGTAATACTTTATAGTATATAGTAATTGAATGTCAATAAATTCATATAAACAAACACAAAATCTTGGTAAATGAATTGTAATAGTTTTATATAATTTTATAAAATTAAATTTGAACAAAATAACATTAATGTATAATAAAATATAATTTAGTTTTATATACCTACATGTATAGTATTAAGTTTTTAAATGCAATTTAATGCATATTGCTTTCAATAAAAGTTACATTTTTATTTAATTTATTGTAATACAAGTTATACTAAAACAGGATTTTTGTCATCAAATCGAGAAATACAGCATTCTTTACAAGAAATGTGCAAAAATATACTGAAATAAATTTCATTCATTATTTTTTGTAAAATAAAACATCAATATATTTAAATCAGTCTTTGTTTATATTAATTTACAAATGCATAATAAGTATATAATTAATATATTTATTTTATTTTTCATAACAATTGAAAAGTGTGCCAATTGTGCTAAAAACCAAACATTTGCTGAAATCAATAATAAGTTGGCATTGAATTTACTGAAAGTATTGCCGAAACAACAAAACAACTTTTACTCTCCATTAAGTATAACGACTTCATTAACCATACTATTGAAGGGATCAAATGGTGTCACCAAAGAAGAGCTCAAGAATGTGTTGAATATCAAGGATAATAGTAATATCTGTTCCGTAATGTTGAAAATATTATATATTTATCATATAATTAATAATTATACAAATTTTATTTCAATTCTAAGCGAATATCACTTCATTAGAAGCGAGTCTTAAGAGACAATTGGCGTTAATTGAGGAGCAAATTGAAAACGAAGTGAACATACGTTTAGCTAATCGTATAATCATATCAAACAAAAATCCATTATTAAAAGAGTTTGAAGATTTCGCATACAATATATCGAACACTGATTTAAAATTTGTAAATATAAGAAATTCTGAGTTTATTAACGAAGAAAATAATAACTGGATTAAAGGGGAATCAAATGGTGTATTTGATAGAGTGTTTGACAGCGAATTAAGTGACAATACATCACTCGCTTTGGCTAATAGTGTATACTTTGAGGCCTTTTGGAAGAATGCATTCACACAGAAATACACCACAAGAGAGGAGTTCTTCGGCGACTCTCTCACAGAAGTGGAGACAATGAAAATGTGGCGAAAATTCAAATATGTGTTCAGTCCTCAGTTGAATGCATCGGTTATTGAGTTACCATTTCGTGAGGAAAGCGGTATATCTTTAATTATCGTATGTTTTGGATATTTATTTTTGTTTTTCTTAATAAGTATTGATGTCTTCGATGTCTTAATACCAGTTTTATGTGTGGTTTAGTTATTACCTGACAATAGGAAAGGACTGAACACAATGTGCGATAAATTGGATATGAAATCATTGAACGCTTTATTGAATCAATTGGACGACTCGAGCGAAAGACATCTGGTTCTGTCATTACCCAAGTTTACTATTAAAACAGGTTTTGATTGTAAAACAAATTTAAATTATGTGTTTATTTATTGTTTGTCAACTATTTTCACGGCTAGAATACGATTTAGAGGACGGATTCAAGAGATTGGGCCTCAAATCAGTGTTCAACTCTTCTGCCGACTTGTCCAGCATTAATGGCGACAAAAAATTACATTTATCTCAAGTCATACATAAGGCCTTCGTTGAGATCAAAGAGGAAGGCATTCAATCATCAGAATTATCGGAACTGTTATACATTCCGGCCGTCAATCCATTTGTCCGACACATTCCCGTCAAAGTCAACAAACCCTTCCTATTCATCATAAGAGACAATAATTCAGATCTGATTTTAATGTTGGGTCAGTTGCGGGTCCTTTGATTCAAATAATAAATTATATGCTCTAAACTAAATACAAAAATCTCACAATAAAAAATTTTGGTAAATCTAATGTCATTTATTTCAAAGTCAATCACATTTTATGTTATTTTTTGTGGAAAGTTTTTCTGTCGCCAACAAAACAAGTTTAAAAGTCAACGAAAAAAATATAAGTTTAAGAATGAAATCAAGAAAAACTTGACATAACTTTCCGGTCAACAACACATTCAATAAGTATTTTTCAATTTTACGCAACATATGATTATATAGTCTCTGTCTCT